CACGAGCAGGGCAGAGGAGCAGCCACAGCCGCTGGACTGCAGCAAGGCCAAGACAGAGCAGGAACTGGAGCCGGAGCAGCAGCAGCAACAACAACAGGAGGAGCAGCAGCAGCAGCAGGAGCAGGAGCAGGAACAGCAGCAGGAGGAGAACGTGGAGGAGGAAGAGATGAAATCCATACCAAAGACAAAGCCAGCTGGAACGACACCGTCGCCAGCCACATCGCCCACCACAGACTCACCGGACGCCACGCAGGAGGCGACGCACTGCATCGTGGTGCACAACGTGGAGCCGGCGGCAGTCGACGCCAATGACAGTGCCTCAGCAGAGCTGGAGACACAGAAACTGCCCAAGCTAAAGATAACACGCCTGCAAACCAAACGCACGCTCATCCAAACCAAAGATACGGCCACGCCCACATCTCCCACAGCTGGCAGCGGGGGTGGCAGCGGCAGCAACTGCGCTGCGGCAGCGGAAAGCACGCGGCCGTTGCGCAAGCGTAAAAGGATTATTGATTGTGATTTTCAGAAGATTGCGCTGAAGGAGATGGAAACATTCGATGCGCACCACAACAGCAATAGCAACAGTAACAGCAACAGCAACAGTAACAGCAAGGAAGAAGAGGAAGCGTGCAATATGAACAGCAACAACAGTGCTAAAGCAAAACAGTAGTGAATAGGCATTAACATAAAAGTGTAGTAGAAATAGTAGTGTAGCCCTTATAAAATATTAGCTCATATTATGGAAGTATGCGTGCTGACTTAATTAAACATAATTACTATTATAAATATAATAAACTGTAGTAGCACATAGTGCGGGCAAAATCAGAATTTAACTGAATGAATAAATTATTACAATTATGTACATAAAATAACAACAAAATATGTGTAACATTTTTTATAAGCTGTTTAGTCAATTAGAATTGGCAAACAAATTACAAATAGAAATCAAGAAATTATATTAATGTCTATATTATTTGCATTGCAGACAAATCGAAACCTTTTTAAAATGTAACAGAAGCTTTGTATGAAGGCTAGACAGGGCTGTATAACAGCTGGCCTTATGTTAGCAGTTCTTTTTGAGCACAACAGTGCTGCCACTCGGCAAACAAACACTGAAGCTACATAAAGCTGCGTGCTATGACATTCATTCGTGTTTTGTTTTGTTTTGAATTGGTAAATTTATTTTCGTAATTTGTATAATTAAGTGCAACAAAAACTACATTATAAACATAAAATACATATAAATCTTAATGCCATCACAGCGGGTATTTGCCAAAATTTTCATCATCTATGACCTTGTAGCGATAATTGCGGTAGGTATCCAATTCAAATATATATTTCTTGCCGCAATCCTTCATCAACTTCAGAATAACGGGCTTTATATTCTCAATGCCCGTCATATTCGCCAGCTCGTTGTAATAGTCAAACTATAATAAATAAATTATCATAAGCGGCACTTCAATAATTCGTAACCAATGCCCACCTGGCGCTCGCCCATTTGATGGGCCTTCTTGCGATTGGCGAAACCGTATTCCCAGCGCTCGCCCTGCTCCTTCTCCAAGTCGGCAATCATCTGCTCCCGTGTGGGCAGCTCCCGCTTGCCCCTGTAGAACTTGAGGGTGAATCGGACCTGCATGTCGAATATGTGCGTGGGTATCACATTGAAGGGCAGTCCAATGAACGACATGGTCGGATTGTTAATGTTGATGCAGTGCTTCCACAGTGGCTGCACAAAGTTATCGATCACCTGCACACCCACATCGGTGCTCAGGCACGGAAAACTGTACTGGTAGCCGGTGCAATGCACCACATGCTCAAACGTTTCCCGACTGCCATCCTTGAAGATGGCGCCGTCCTTGGTGAACCGCTCCACGTCCGGCTTTTGTGTCACATTGCCCATAAAAGCGGTGTTGGGCGTTTGCGCCAGATGATGGCTCAGAAACACATGCTTGGCCTCCTTGCGAATGTGATTCGTGATGTCCATGCCACTGGGACCGGCGCCAATAATCAAAACCTTTTCATCTGCCGGCACAAGAATGGATTTAAATTCAAAAATTGAATATGTATGTATCAAAAATAGCACGATATTTCATTTATCCCAAAGGTCACATGATTCATCATGAAACATCTGTTTCATTTGCATATTCATTTATCAAAATACGCGCAGATAATACGCATTGTCTTTAGCTCAGATTGTGCTATAAAACCTGGAAAAGTTTTTTGCTGAAGTGCTTCTTGTTTATCAGTTAGCTCCAACATTTCCAGGGTATAAACTATTAAAACTATTTTGTGATTAGGTCAGACACTAAGCACCCAGAACCCAAACATCTTGAGAACTTGATAAGACTCGATTATTTATAATATGAAAACAAAATTCCGTCTGTAACTAGGCTAAAAGTTTTTGCGACTGATAGTTTATATCTCGAGAGGGGGGAAAAAAAAGTATGGAGCAACTACAGAAGTTGCTGGGCAGGCGTAGGACGGGAATCGAATCTTATCTAAACTATTACACAAAATTGATTTGAATTTATTTGTTATTTGCGCTTGAGCTCACCCTTAAAATTCTCAGCCTTGCGATATAGATGACTGTGGATTTGCCGACCCTCGAACAGATCCATGCCCTCGATTGTAGGCATATCCGGTTCCGTGTAGTGGCCATTGCAGACATAGATGAAATCAAAATAGACCGTATCGCAGGTGTCGTTGATGTGATCCCACACATAGACCTATATCAATTCATATAAGGTTGTAGGGAAATGCATTTAATCGCCGGGCAAGATCGTGCAATGTAAACAAAAAAACAATATATTAAATAATTATTGCATAATAAATTCGAAATAATGCATAATGAAAGCCAGATCGTATCAGACGTCAGCACTCACCTCCCAATCGTTTAAACGGGGACGCACCCTGATGACCTCGTGCTGCAGTTTGATGTGCGGCCGGAGCTTGAAATGATCGGCATAGGAGCGGAGAAATTCCAGAACCTGCTGCGATGTGATGAACGACTCTTCAATATCCGTGGGATACGGATAGTCCGGATAGCCCATCACTTCCTTGGGTAAATTAGTGCTGCACCCAGATTATATATAGTATATAAGTCTATAGTATGAGTGTTTAGCTCTTTTAACCTACCGCAAACCCTCGTACATGCTGCTGTGCACCTCGTCGTACTCATCCTTGGGCATCTCCTCCGAGAACACCCAAGTGCCACCGATTTCGGTGCCCTGCTCGTAGGCCACCGCCTCCAGACCCTCCTCGAGTGCATTCTTCAAGGCGCTCAATCCCGCGGTGCCGGCTAAAATACCAAAATAGTTTCCACACGTTTCTCAGCATTCATTCAGGTTCTCTTAGCACTCAATTCCATACCTCCAATGACGCACACGCGACGCAGCTCGTGCATTGGCGTCTTATACATTTTATTTCCTTACGAGTTGATTTCTCTTCACTGCAGTTCAAACTGTTGCACGTAGCTTCGAGAGTCTTTCCCAATGTGTCTCTCCAGCTCGCCGAGTGATAAGTGACTAGCTCAGGCGGCCAGCGCTTACATTTGTTCCAACGTTCACAGACCCGAGCATATGTCGCTAGGCGATACCGTGCGACCTGTTTTGTGGGCATGCTTAGTTAACAGGTTGCGTTTGCAACAGGCAGCCATGAAGATTATTTAATGATGATAACACTGTCTGAAATCGAAGCTACATATATTAAAATTATTTTTTATTCTAGAAACTTAATATTATTTAAATAATATTAAGCTATATATCTGAATCCAGTCACATGCTGTTTAATTGTATTTATTTATTATAATTTATTCAACTGGATGATATCTTAATTAATGTTATAAATATTATTTTACAATGTTATTTTTTTATATTTAATTATTATTATTTTTTAATATTATTTAAATTTTTAAATTATTACCGCAGCGCATTATCAAGTCGACTCAACAGAATATCCCTGCTGTAAATACTTGACGCTCAATCACATAACAGAGTCGTTCACGTCAACGTCAACGTCAACGTCGGTGTCGACGTCGGCGTTGGCGTCGGCGTCGGCGTGAATGAAAGTGCTGTCACACAACAAAGTACGCATTGAGCGCCGCTGCTCAATTCAGTTGCAGTTGATTCAGTTCCTTATTTACTTGCCCTCTGCTGTGTGATAAGCTTATAGCAAGTGCTCTATATTTACTCACTCTTTCTCTGTCCCTCACTCGTGATCGCAGCTTTCAATTTTTCCTTTCGCTGGCAAGATTTTCTTGTTTCACTGAATCGCAGGCAGAAAGTCATTGTGTCATTTCAGTTTATTAACATACTTTATTGTACAATTATCAGCTGGAAATTATGAACGCGTCAAATGAGGAAAGTACTATATGTAGAAAAAATCTGTTGCATCTGTGTTTACATTCGAACCCCCATATTTACTAACCGCTTGAAAGTCCGCATGCGTAATGTTAATGTGCTAACTCGGAAAGCTCAATGGGATTGAATTAAGCAAATGTGTGTGGAATAATTAAATATTTGATTATTGTTGATAGACTGGTGTCTAATCATGAAGGAATTACATTAGATAGTCGGTAGAAAACTAAATTAATTGCAATGATAAGAATAATGGATTAGACTTGGCTGTTAGTGTTATGCATACCGTAGATATGGCGAAAGTCTAGTAGTATATGGCATGCTCTCACAAATAACCGAGACACAGATAAGGACTGATGTGTTTATATTCCGAAAATTGCTGCAAATTTTGTCTGTCGCATTTACATTTGCAGTTTGTGGTTATATTTACAGCTTCTGTCGTCACAAGACATAACAGCCTTGACCACTGTTAACACATGCTTCTTACAACATATTTCTGCTAATTAACATGAGCATTTGCTGATAACACGTCATAATGATCTGCTAGAATAACACGCGATACATAAGTCGCACAATCTGTCAAAATGATAAGAGCGTTTATATTCTGAGCGCAGACACAACAAGTAACAAAAAAACAACAATAAATGGTCAGACGTTCGGCTTAGTTTTTATTACAAAAAAGGAAAAGCAAACACTATGACAGCGCGCAGACGGGAAGCGACGGGCGGACAGTTGCCGCAAACACTAATTTCAAATAAATGCACAATCCAAATCTTAAATTTGATAGAATCAATTAGCTTTATAGAACTACACATTCTTTACAATTTGCCAGTTAGCTCGGGCACAGCCTTGAACAGATCCGCCACTAGTCCAATATCGGCCACCTGGAAAATGGGCGCCTCGGGGTCCTTGTTGATGGCCACAATCGTTTTGGAATCCTTCATGCCGGCCAAGTGCTGAATGGCACCGGAAATGCCCACAGCTATGTATAGATCGGGCGCCACAATTTTGCCCGTCTGGCCAATTTGCAGATCGTTGGGCACAAAGCCAGCGTCGACAGCGGCACGTGAGGCGCCGACAGCAGCGCCAAACTTGTCAGCCAGATCGTAGAGCAGCTTGAAATTGTCGCCAGACTTGAGTCCACGTCCGCCAGAGATAATAACCTTGGCACCCGTCAGCTCAGGGCGATCCGACTTGGTTAGCTCCTGGGAAACAAATTCAGTCAGGCTGCTGGCGTAGTCGCCGGCTGGCGCTTGTTCCACGGCACCGTTGCCGCCGCTAGTGGCAGCAGGTGGGAAGTTCGTGCCACGAACTGTAATCACCTTGACGGGATCCTTGGACTTAAGTGTAAGTATCGCATTGCCCGCATAAATGGTGCGCACAAATGTGTCCTCCGATTTGACATCGATAATCTCGGAAATGGGCGATACGTCCAGCTTGGCGGCGATACGTGGCAGCACATTCTTGCCAAATGCCGAGGCGCCAGCCAAAATGTGCGTGAACTTGAATTGCGATTGGGCGGCCAGGACCAATGGGGTCAGGGATTCGGCGGTGAAGCCCTTGAAGGCGGCATTTTCGGCGACCAAAACTTTGGTAACGCCCTCAACCTTTGCCACAGCTTCCGAGGCCTAAAATCAATGTCAAAATCGCATGATTATGCAACAAATTTAATAACAACAACAATAACACAACTTACGGGTCCACATTTTGTGCCTGCTACCAGAACCGTGACGTCACCACCGATCTTCTTGGCCGCCGTAATGGTGTTCAGTGTGAGTGGATTAAGTGTCTCATTGTTGTGCTCCGCCACGACCAATGTGCTCTTGCAGCGCTGCAGCTGTAAAACGCAAATTGATTATTTAATATGTAATTAAATTTCGGGTGATCGTGCGACATTTTATTTTGGCAATTCAATTAATATACATACAAAGCTGCTGCGCACTAGATTGCGGGTGTTGTTGGCAAACATGTTGTGCTTCTTTAAGGCTTAAACTTTTATAAGAAAAACGAGGTTATTATAAACAATTAACGTTAATTGAATTGAAGAGTACCTGCCACAGTATCAATCGCAGAAGGTCCAAAAGTCGTTTTGTCAGCTGTTCGCGCTTGGCAATATTTAGCACATTTAGCTGCTGTTAGTTAACAGCAAAGCCGGCACTTAAATGCAGCAGCATGGCAACGCCAAATCAGATGCTCGCCATATGCAAGTTGTGTGCGTGTGTATATGTACACATTTGTATTTTGTATATAGCACGCGGTAAAAATTCTTGCAATGTGTATAAATTGTTGTTTAGTTTCTCAACTGTAGCATAAACATTGCAAATAATGGGCAAAGCCATCCCTGATCGGTAGGTTTGTTCGCATCGCTGCAATTTCATAACATACAACTAAGCGTGGCATTGTTTTGGTTTTTATTCTATCTGCAGCTGGCTTAATTATCGGCCTATTGGCGAGCGGATTGCGGGTACACGCTTCATAGCATTCAAAGTGCCGCTGCGTGAGGTGAGTGCAGCCGCCCCCCCGATAAGTGACCCAAATAACCGGTTAGCAGGAGCAGCAGCAGATGCAGCTGCCGCCTGCGAATTGATTGATGTTGAAATGTGGACCACCGGGCGAGGGGCCCCTCTAAAAATAAATAACAAAAGGGAACGAAATTTGTGTGTATTGCAATTATGCATAAAAGTGGCAAGTGGTACATGTTGTTCCACACAGCAGCAGCAGCAGCAGAAGGACCCCACGCAGCCGCATGAATATTAAATTAAATTGTTTTGGCTTAATTAAATGACGCCGTGGAGTTGCTCCTTGGCAGCTTATTAATTGTACCGCCGCCGGCCGTTGCATAAATTGAGCAATTTCAGCATGTTTTCTCTATATGTCTCATATTTGCCTTTTTCACAGAATATCAATGAGGGCATCGATGACGAGCAGCTGCGTCTGGCGCCACTCTCGCTGCTGGAGTCTGTGCCAAATCTGGGCCTGATCGTTGACTTGACCAACACCAATCGCTACTACAATCCCCAGGTTAGTGCAACTGCTGCTCCACTGTGTCGCTCAAGTCATTTAATTAATGCTCCCTCTTGCAGACCTTTACGGATCAAAATGTGGCGCATCAAAAGCTCATGATACCGGGCCATCAGACGCCGCCCAGGGAGCTGGCGCAAAGGTGCGTTCATTGTCAATCGTCGGCTTCTTTCAGCTAATAAACCTTTCTTTAATTGCAGATTTTGCCAGTATGTGACAAGCTTTCTGGAGGCAAATCCGGATAATGGTAAGTGCATAAATTGTTAACCACACCGCCCACTCACTGGCGCTGCTCCGGGCACGGTGCCGTGGGAACGCTTTCCCCCACATCAGCTATGCAGATGCATATCTGTCAACACAATTAGAGCTCGAAATATGCAATGAAATCATGTATATCAAAAGCGAGTCGCCGTCCACGTGTAACATGTAATTACCATGTGGAGGAGGCAGCACAGCCTCCAGATGCCTATCAGCTGCCAAGCGCACAATAAACATACCTTGCAGCCAAATAGAAATGTGGCAAGTGACCAAAAAAAAAATAGAAAGAAAGAAAGAAAGACTATTTAACCTTTAACTGGCGCATAGAAGTGGGCGTCTCTCAGAGTCTGTTCCCAGTGTCAGTTCCAAGTGGCAGGCAAACAAATCACTTATGGGAAGCTGGTCATGAGCGTACAAAAAGATCTAGCGGGATCTTTACTCCGTTCTCAACAGGTCCGTAGGAGTCTTGAACTCTAGCAACTATTTGACTGTGATTAGAAAATATGCACATACATATATGCAAATTATGTAGGTTGATATGCGCCATGCCCATAGCCGATGTAGGAGATGTCGAATTTCGCTCCTAAAATAAATGGGCTACAAGTCTAGTTTTAATAATTATAATCAAACAAAAATACTTTTAACGACATAGGATGCTTCGCGTTGCCAACCAGCGAAAAGGTCGATAGTCAGGGCTGTTTGTCTTATGTTAACAGATAACTTTACGAATAGTGGGTTTGCCCAAAAATAAAAATCCCACTGTCCGCGCTGCAATTTACAACTGCCAAGCAAATAAAACGCGCGCTGTTCACAGGGCAAGAAATCAAGCAGTATATGAGAAAAATTCAAGGTGGTCGGCACTTGTCCATGTACCCATAAACGTAGCAGGGCTCATTCGTTTGACAGTGGGGCAAACAACACGCAGCTCTCAAATTGCTTTAGGTATGAGCCGCCAGTGTTGCCATCCTGCTAGCATTCAAAATATTGCTCAGTAAATGCACGTGTGAAAAATACTGGTAATTAAGCGTGTGATATGCATAGTTGCCATAAGTGCTTAACTTTATTATGGTTTAGCCAGACAGCATTGTTCGTAATTGCCTGGCTGTCTGGAGTGCTGATATATGTGAAAATCATTGAGTGGGTAATCATATTGCCCATTGTGCCCCCGATTGCGACACAAGGATGCTGTTGCATTGCTCTTGTTGCAAGTTGGCTTAAACGCAACCAAAAACATGACGTACAACTGGCAGTTCGACTAGCCGCAGCCATAGCACCCGCATAGCGCACCACCACAAAACGACTTTTTGCTGCATCCCCCCCGCATGACCGACATGTTTTTTGTTGTTGCTTGTATGAAATTTATTGCCAATGTTGTGCATATTGGCAGTGCGCGCGCTGTTTTCTAGATTTAGCCCAGGTCGCCGCTTCTGCTTTAATACCAATTGCTCCTGGCACCCCTCTCCCTGAAAGTACAGTCAGAGCTACGCAGAGACGCAGCCGGTTTGGCCACTCGGCGTGGGCGAGGCGAGGCGAGGCGCATTCCTGTGGCTGGCTGGCTTTGAAATGAAATTTGTTGCAATTTGTGGCGACATGAAGCTGCCAGCGGCAGCTAAATGCTTTCTCTGCCCTAAACAGTAACCGAGCCCGAAACAAGAAACGTGACAGCCCTTTTAGGCAGTGCATGAATTTAATGTAGAACTTCCAACTGACAGATCATGATGCTTGTCATTTAAATAAAAATAAATACAATAGACAAGAGGAACTCTCCAAATACTCCACTTTACAGACAAACTCATTGGCGTGCACTGCACACACGGCGTAAATCGTACCGGCTATCTGATCTGCTACTTTATGATCACCAAGATGAATATGTCGCCCAAATTGGCCATACAGAGTGCGTAAATCAATGAAAAGAAAGTTTCAACCCAGCCAAAAGAAACAGCTGCTAATAATCCCATTTCGACTTGCAGCTTTTGCCGATGCGCGTGGCCACAAAATTGAGCGTGAAAACTACACAAAGTCGTTACGACATCTGGATTCCACACCAGATCGGTCCAGACAGCATAGTGAGAGCAGCAGCCACAGAGGGGGTAGACACAGGCCACGGGATGAGCACCATGAGACTCGCATTGAGAGGCACTACGATGACAAATCTGACAATTGGCGTAATCGTCAACAGGATCAGAATGGCTGGCAGCAGCGGCAGTCGCAGCCGCAACAGCAGCAGCAGCAAAGCCAGCAATGGCGTAATCCCAGAAATGATAGCCAGCATAATGGCTGGCAGCAGCAGCAGCAGCAGCATCGGCAGCCGCAGCCGCAGCGCTGGCGTCAGGAGGCCCACAGCGAGGAGATGGCTAGTAAGCAAGTACGAAACAACGATTATCAGGCGACAGACAATGGACGCTATCGGGAGCAAAGCAATTGGCAGCCCAGGCAGAACAATCGCCATCGCCATTCGGAGGATCAAGGTTATGGCAGAAGCAGCAACGGCAGCTACAACAATTATCGCAGGTACAACAACAACAACAACCACAACAGCAGCAGCAGCAGCAACCACAACAACTACCACAGTAGCGGCGGCGGCAGCAGAAGCGACAACTACAACAACTACAGTAGAAACAGCAGCTACAACAACAATTACAGTAGAAACAACAACTACAATAGCTACAGCAGAGGCAACAACTATAAGCGACAGGATAGTAGACCGCACTCCAATCGCTATCAATATTTGACTGACCAGGAATAGCTTCGATTGTTGGCTATTTAGGATTTGACGTTCAGTAATTGGTCCTGCCTGATTCTGTACATTTTCGTTTCGTAATAAATTCCAGTCCTCTGTTGGCCAATTTGTTGTAAATTATTGCCCATTAGGCACCCCCCGTCACGGCCGTGTTTCCGTGGCAACAACAATTAAAATTCATTTTCAACATGGCCAAAAGCCGCAGGTGCCGGCTCAATCTGTGCAGCAGTTAACAAGCGGCAGATCGCAGTAGATCGTGTGAAGATACATTCAAAAATTTGCATATACCATATGCCTTTTGCTGCTCATGCCCAGCCGAGAGTCGCCAGAGACTTGAGAGCGAGATAAGCGTAAAGCGAAGAGTGGCGTGAAATTCCTGGAAATTAGTGCGTCGCCGGCGGCAAGCGGCTTCTGTGTCAAACAAATGTCAAAAAGCTATACAGATGCGTCAGTGGACATGCGTACCTATACATATATGAGCCAGTGTGTCGTTATGTGTGTCCAATTGTCGTCGACGTTAAGTGGCACAGTGGGCGCCACAGTTGATTTGTGCGCTCAAAATTCATGGCACAGCTGCACTTGCTTTGCCTACATCTGACAACCGGTTTAACCGGCTGTCAAACTTGATTTTCCTTGCCTCAGTTCTGATCTAGTTATCAAACTGTTAAATATTTTCGCAGGATTTTCAATGCTGCCATCTTTTAGTGTATTACACATGGCGTCGCTGCGGCGTTGCCAAAAGATTAAATTAGGCCAAGTAAATGCCCTTTAACTTCATGTTAAAATTGATCTTCACACCAAACAAAAAAATTCAAATATATTGTGTTAATAGGGCTCCGAGTTTTTGAGCCGAGAAATTGCACATTTGTTATTTATTTTTCTGTCCGATATAACCCGTTGTGTGCACTAAATTCAAAACAAACTAAGGGCTCGCCATGGCCATATTCTTAATGTTGCAGTGCCTATGCTCAGGAATTGAGCTGCTCGAATGGGTAGCTGTTTAATTGATATATATATATATATATATATATATATATATATTGAATACAGCTAATCGCCCGCAGCACTAATATCATTTAATAGCTGCTTAATTGGTTTTTAGTGCTTCATATACAGTACTAGAAAATGTATCTATCATATGACGAGGGCCAATCGACAAGCACTGCATAGTCTGGAAATGATTCTGCGAACTCCAGACTGAGTGCATCTCCTTTGCTTCCTATATAATGACCCGATACGCCCAATTGGAATAGTGGCACGTTGAAGTCCCCATTGGGTTTCTATAATAGAAAGCTATGCTTATCGTATTCAATTACGTAAACTATTCGAACTTACCGAAATGTCCAGATAGAATTCCAAGGGTGAGCTATCTATGCCATATGTAAAGTAGATATGGTATGACAGTGGATGGGGTGGGGGATCCTCGAGGTAACTGCGCTCAAAGGACCAGTTGCTCACGGCTACGAAGTCATCTTCATAGGGCTGAATGAACAGGCTCATATGATCCGGGCCCACCAATTTGAATTCAAAGCGCGCCGTTGTATTGCTCTCCAGTATGGTTTTACTTAAAAGCGTCAGTTCGGTTTTAGCTGGTGGTTCAATGGGTATCTCCCGAGGCAACCATACACCCTCCAGGCGATTGTCGACCCAACGTTCATCGTATAATGGTACTCCGCACATCATGTGCTTGGCACAGTCAGATATCATGTTCTCGGCACCTGCCATGCGCATCTTCATGGGTGCCGCCTCGCGTCGATCTTGGAAACTAAACAGATAACCGGACTCATCCTTGCTAATGGTGCCATCGTACTCGTAAAAGATTTTGCGCACATGCTGGCAAATGGAATGTATTAGATTAGATATCGACCAATCGATAGATCAGTAAATACCTGATAGGACACCCGCTCACTGCTCGCCTTGGGGCGATATGGAAAACCGATTTGAGTGCCAGTGGCGAGAATCACGGTAATCGCAGTTACTGTCAGTATGCAAAGCACGATTAGATAGGGACGACGGAACATGTTGATCAGGGGCATCTACGCGTGCAATCCATTAGCTTTTAATCGGAGAATTGATAGGAGTTAACTTACCAAGAAGCCAAAGGACATAATCGCACCCAAAGCAGCCAAGAGAGAAATAACTAGATCTGGATTCATGGAGCTGCCGGCACGACCACTCATTGGTATCACCACGACGAGGAAGAGGTAGATGCGATAGCTGCTGTACAGGAAAGGCATCACCTGGCTAAGCATTAGCAGGCCCGTCCAACTGAACCCACGATCATGGAAAGTCGTCAATAGATTAAGTGTCAAGGAACTGCCATAGAAGATAATCAGAATTGTGATAATATAGACAGAGCGCAAGCCATAGGCGGTCAATCCTATAGCCAAAAGAGCCAGAACGACGGCCCAACTATGCAAAGCCAGTTGCAGGTGGTGAGGGAAAGATAACTTGTTCTGGAAGGAATAAAGTTTAGCCGCTTCGAGGAGTTTAACTCATCAACGTGTACACTCACCTTCCTGTTCAGCTGATAGTAAATTGTGATGGGCAGACTCATTCCGATAAGCGAAGGGCAGACATAAAGACCGATCAGAAGCGATAGCGAGCTGAAGTAGGTCAAGGACGAGCCGAAGCTGTCGAAGATACAGGCGATTAGCAGAGGCAGTGCCAGGCCTAGCACCAGGGCCAGAATCTGTAGAGCCAGCAGTATCAAAATGCGCTTTAGAACGTGAGCAAGGGACACACTGGAAACAGCTGACATGCGCCACACAGAGATGAAAACCAGGATGAGCATAGTTACAGCCGCACAGTAGTTCAATATTTGGCCAGTTTGGTCCGAGTAGCTGATGAAAAACAGGCCTAGGAAGTCAAAGAAAACTGCGTGTCCTTCTTCATGTGCCTGCGTTTGAAGTAAAAGCTATACCAAGTCCTGTTCATATAATAACAAACTGAAATGTTACCTCTGTGTCGTGCAATTCGGTTGCATTCGCCAAAGCGCGCACTAGGCTGAGAATATTATCACCCGTATTTTGCATAGCGCCGCGAGGAATCACATCAATGCGATCGTACTTGGTGTGATAGATATAGCCATTGATCACCTGGGCTATATCGAGGCCTAAACAGTCAACGAAATTAGTCAAACCAGTTTATGAAAATATTGCCTTAATTCCTGGTAATACCTGGTATATGGCCATATTGCACAAAGGCAGCGAAATCTGTATCCGATGGAATCACGCCCGACTGAAACACTTCCTCACCCAAGGTTGTGGCAAATGGGTGCTTGGCACTCTTCTTGTAGTACTGTAAGAACGTGAAAGGTCTTAAGGCAATGCATTAACTCAAGAGTGCCCTTTAGGTTCTTACATCAACAAGCCACGGATGGGAGGGTCCGCTTTGAAACAGAATGTCGCGTCCCCCGCTGCCCGCACAATCCAAATTGACGACAGCTCTGCAAATGCATGTCATGAATTGGAATTTTCCTAATAATAAAATTGAACTAACCCGCAACATACTTGCAATTCGGTGCCCATTTGTGTTGCGTAATAAAACCATGGGATGCCTGCAATGCAGTTTCCTCAGCTCCGTTGAATAGGAAGACGACGGGATGCTCGAAGGGTTGCTGTGTTGTGGTCATCACACGCAGCACCTCCAGCATGGTGGCGACCATGAAGCCATCGTCACCTGCTGCCGGGGAAGTTGGCTGCGAATCAAAATGGCTGTTTACCAGCAGATAAGACTCGCTAGTCGAGTTCTTCGAGCTCAATTTCACAATTATATTCTGCACGCCCTGGTACATGTTGAGCATGTTGCTGTATCTGAGTGCGCCCGAGGGACGCTGAATGTCTATCTCCATGGTGAAATAGTCTTGGCGTAGAACCTTCCTGATCTCCACTAGTTCGTTGAGCAAAAAAAGCACAGTATCCACCTCATTGGCAGTGCTGCCCACCACCTTGGGTCCAATGTTAACCAGATTGTTGAGCGTGTTATAGGCGCGGTCTCCAATGAATTCGCCTTTATTGTCATCCTCGATGGTCAGCGCTGTGGGCAAGCGATAGAAGAGCGGTATGACCACTGCAAAGAAGAGTAGGACCCAGAAGAGCAGGAATCCAGTGCCAAAGTACCAGGCTGGCTTTACGTGGATATCCTTGTTGACCAGATCTTTGGCGAGCACATCGCCATTTTCTTCCGATATCTGCGCATTGGTTTCAGAGTTAGCAAAAATGATATCACTTGTTGTTGTTATTGAAGCCTTTACCAGATTATCCTCATCGCTCATTTTTGCTAACTATTTGTTTTTTTCCGAACTGAACCCAGCGTTTCGAATTGCTCAACTAGCAGAACCAGCCAAATGTAACACTCTTTTATAGCATGGAAAAGAATAGTCATAAAATCGGGGTTTCTGGTCAAAAATTTTAAAAATATATAATTTTATAGCGCCAATGATTCAGTATAAAATTGATAACAATAAATGCGAGGGCGGTTCAATGCCAAAAAATGATAAATGAAAAGGAAATAACCAACAAGGACTACTAAACAAAGGAAATGAAATAAAAGTTAGCCATATTTAAATTATATCAAATTAAATTATTTGTATTTATTCATACTTAATATCTAAATTGTTTTACATTGTGTGAAAATACATAAGATTCTGCTCGCATCTCAAATAATCGCAACATTTGCAACTGCCCTCGTTAGCCAAATTTACAGCCATGATTAAAAGAAGCACGCTTAAAATGACGGCCGCGGTCATGATGATATGGAACACGCACGCCATAAGATTTTGAAAATAAGCCATAATCTGCTGTCATAAATATATATAATCTGGTTTAATCTGAAAATTTAATTTTGGTACGCCAATGTCTGTCTGTTGCAGTCTAATCAGTCATCACTCTACGGATAATTCCAGCTGCTGCACAAATTCCCAGGAAATGTTTAAACAAATATATGAAGTGCTTGCGAACTGCTTAGCTTATCGGGTGGCAGACTTCATGTATTTTTATTACCATATTGATTAAAACACTATCGCAAAATAATAGGCTAATAGGAACTTTCGGCAATGATTTTACGTAACGAGTGATTCCCCATCATGACGTAGTCTTAGTCATCCCATGATTCTTCCGTTCGACCCCCAAGAAGGTTCACAAGACCCAGACTAATGCATTTTATATGTTCGAAATTGCTTAGAGCTAAATTATTTAGAATATATATCTTTGATATAGGGAAGGCCAATCGGTTATGACTGCATACGAGGGGAATGTTGAGGCGAACTTCACGCTATGCTCGTCGCCTTTGTTTCCAATATTGTGCGACGATACGCCTAGTTGGAACAGCGGCACATTGAAGTCTCCATTCGCTTTCTATATAATGCAAATATACTAAGCATAAAGACCCAAAAGGAATTATATAATTTACTTACTGTAAGATCGAGACTAAACTCGAGTGGTGCATTACTTCCATAGGTAATGTACATGTGGTAGGACAGCGGAAGAGCTGGCTTTTGCTCCAGGTAACTCCGGGAGAAGGACCAGTCACTCACAGTGACATAATCATCTTCATAGGCCTGCACAAACAGGCTCAAATAGTTCGGTCCCGTCAAGCGGAATTCAAAGCGTACAGTTTTCGTATCATTCAACACTGTTTTGCTCAGCAGCTCCAGATTGGCTGGTGTTGGTGGCACGATGGGCTCCTCACGTGGCAGCCACATGCCCTGCAAACGATTGCCCACCCAGCGTTCATCGAACAGAGGCACCCCACACATCATGTGTGTATCGCAATTGGACGTCTGGCTAATCGCGCCAGTTAGATTCACGCCGGGAAACGCTTGCGCTTGACGTCTATCCTGGAAATTGAACAAATAGCCGGAGTCATCCTTGCTAACGCTGCCGTCGTACTCGTAAAAGATTCGGCGCACGTGCTGGTACAAAGAAAACAAATATGTGTATGAGAACAAGAACTCGTCGCAGTTTGCTGCCCAAAATACCTGATAAGCTACTCGCGCACTGTTGGTCCTCTGGCGATAGGGAAAACCGATCTGAGTGCCACAGGCTAGGAATATCGTAACGCCCGTAACCAGCAATAGGGTGAGCAATACCGACCAGGGTCGTCGGAAAATGTTGGTCAAAGGCAGCTGAAGAGACATACGATACTGGAGCTGATTGGGAAAACAATTGAAGCAGACTTACCAAAAATCCAAAGGAAGTCACTGCGCCCAGTGCTGCCAAGGCAGCAATGGTTGTGTCCGGATTGGAGGCACTGCCGGATCGACCATTCATGGGCGTCAGCACCACAATGAATATGTAGAAGAGGTAGCTATTGTACAGGAAAGGCATCACCTGGCTAGCTATGACCAGGCCAGCCCAACTGTAGCCACGATCGTGGAGCGTCGTCAAGAGATTTAGGGCCAAGGAAATGCCATAGAATATAATCAGAATTGTGATAATATAGATGGAGCGCAAGCCATAGGCTGTCCCTCCTATGGCCAGAAGAGCCAAAACAACGACCCAGCTATGCAAAGCCAGTTGCAGGTGATATGTGATAGGTAATTTATTCTAGTAATGATAAATATTGAGTGGGAAATTAAATCAAATGAAATAATTTATGTACTCACGTTCTGCTGCGACTGATAGTAAATGGTGATTGGCAGACCGAGACCAATTAGTGCCGGGCATATATACAAGCCGATCAGGAGCGCTGGAGAGCTAAAGTAGGTCAACGACAAGCCAAAGCTGTCGAAAACATATGCTACTAGCAAGGGCATTCCCAGGGCCAAGACGAAGGCTATAATCTGTAGAGTCACTAGCATTATAAGACGCTGCCAGACACCACATGAGGACAGCCGAGCAACGGCTGACATGCGCCACAAAGAGATGAAAACCAGGATGAGCGTGGCTCCTGCTGCGCAGTAGTTCAAAGTTTTGCCCGTTTCTTCGGAGTAGTTGATGACAAACAGACCCAAAAAGTCAAAGTACACAGCTTGGCCATTTTTGTATGCCTGTTGATAGATTATAAAAAGTTAGTGTATTTACATAAAAAGTTTATCCCGACTGATTGATACTTTTAAAGGGTCTTCCTAATGGGTCGAAAGTGACCACTAACAAGGAAGTGGTCGCTGGTTCAAATTCAATAACGATCGTCAAATTTTCGTTAAATACTTTTAATTTCTTATAGGTCTTAATATCTTACAAAGATAAAGTTGATAAGGCTTTATTTGCTTACCTCTGTATCGTGCAATTCGGTTGCGTTTGCCAAATTGCGCACTAAACTCAGAAGATTATCGCCCGTGTTTTGAATGGAGCCGCGAGGAATAACATCGATACGATCGTACTTGGTGTGGTATATAAAGCCATTGATGGCCTGGCCCATGTCAACACCTGTACAGTAAAACATTTTGTTGATAACCATTTTCATGTTAACAGTTACGTGCTTAACCTGGAATATTGCCGTATCGTGTGAAAATACGATAGTCCGTATCGGACGGCACAAGACCCATTTGGAAGATTTCCTCAGCCAGGGTGGTGGCGAAAGGATGTTTCGCACTCTCTTTGTAATACTGTGGAAAGATTGAGATTTTTTAAATGTGAGAGTTCTAGCGGCTCAAACAGGTTTGAGAGCTCTTACAGTGGCTAGCCAGGCATGTGAGGGGCCAGTTTGGAATAAAATCTCGCGCCCGCCACTGCCCGCGGCATCCAAATTGACGACAGCTCTGCGAATGCAGTTTATGGATTGGAATCTTCCTTTTAACTTGAACTAATCGCAAACATACTTGCAATTTGGTGCCCATTTGTGCTGTGTGATGAAACCGTGCGAGGCCTGCATGCCCATTTCCTCGTCTCCGTTGAACAAAAAGACGACGGGATGCTCGAAGGATTGTCTGGTTGTGGCCATCACACGCAGCACCTCCAGCATGGTGGCCACCATGAAGCAATCGTCACCAGCTGCAGGAGAATTTGCCACTGAATCGAAGTGGCTGTTGACCAGAAGGTACGACTCGCTAGTGGATCTCTTTGGGCTCAGCTTGACCACAATATTCTGTACTCCTTGATACATCTCAAGCATGTCATAGTAGATATGCGAGCCCGTAGCTTTCTGTATGTCAATCTCCAAGGTGAACAGCTCCTCAAGCAGCTCTTTCTTGATATCAGCTATTTCATTTAGCAGATAAGCTACTGCATCCACCTCATTGGCATTGCTGCCCGTCACCTTGGGTCCAATGTTCACCAGATTGTTGAGCGTGTTATAGGCGCGATCTCCAATGAATTCGCCTTCATTGTCATCCTCGATTGTCAGCGATGTGGGCAGGCGATAGAAGAGCGGTATTACCACAGCGAAGAAGAGTAGGACCCAGAAGAGCAGAAATCCAGGGCCCAAGTACCAGGGTGGCCTTATGTTGATATCCTTTCTGGTCAGTTTCCTAGATAACCCGACGCCATCCTCCTCCGAAATCTGCAAATGATGTGCAAACAAATAGTAGAAAATTGTCGGATTTACTAATTTTAAATGTGTTTACAAGTTTATCCTTATCGCTCATGCTCGATAGCTATGTTTTTCTGCAGATGTGAGTTGCGCGGGTTCACAAGTGAAACTACACAGTTCGGGTGAAACGTTTGAACAATTTATAGTAGTCTGGAAAGGTATCATAAAGTCGGTGCTTCAATAAATAATCAATTTAAAATACATACATTTATTACGCCCATTAGCTTATTGCCTTCCAATGGAAGCTCATGGCAGATCGTAATCGTGTGTGAATTTTGGTGACTATCCAAATTTGTATACCCTGTGCTCACAAGTGATGGGTATACACAAGTTGTGCTCATTTTTCAAAAGAAATAATGGAATACATCTTAACTAAAAGGAACATAGATAATTCTTTAGAAATATTCGGCAAAAGTTTCAACTTTAACAGATTAGAATTCCATTTGTAAAGCATATGTTCCCTTTGATCATATAATAATATATTTGATCATAATATAAACATATCCTGTATGATTTACTTCTTGTGTTCTTATAAACGCAAGAATGTTAAATTGAACCATTTTCTCCCAGAAACCTTCGCTACTCCGATCTATGCAGGGCATCTCGTAGTCGAGCACTCCCCACTAGATCATAATTACTAATGATAATATTGTTGTTGCTGAAAAAAAGTAACATATAATTTGAAATATATATCAAAAAGCAGGTTATCGTTCTTGTATGTTATATTGGGTTTAGCTTTATCGCCGCATTGTGAACCCAAACTGTATCCATGGAGGGTCTTTATGTATGGTATATTGTAATCAAAATGTTCTCCAAAACCAAAGTGTTTGTTTGCCCTTTGATAAGATTGGCGCAAATTCAAATAATCATAAAAATTATGCTCGATAGAAATGATGAACAACATAGTTTTGAGTCTTCCAAATGAATTTATTCCAATCGATTCGGCGCAAGCGAATAAATATATATTACCCAAAGATGCTAAACCGATAAAAAAAAGAAGAATGCAAATAGACGCAAAAATCTAAACTGGCTAATAAAGTCTGATATCTTCATGATCTGGTTTTAAGATATCCAGTAAATTGATTTTTGTACGAAATATATCCGTTCTTGAACGATACTATAAAAGTCCCTCAGAGGCAGAAATATAACACGATACTTAATTTATATCGAGCTCTGATCGAGTCGATTTTCAAGGAGTATGCAGACTGTTTGGGCTTGGCAGAAAACTAAAAAGTTCATATTTTTATATAATGGAATTAACCAAAAATGAATTTCGCTTTGCAGCGAATTTGAAGAAATATTTAAAAAACTCGTCTGGCAACTCATTTGTGTATTGTGCCCATTGTACCCTGCCCTGTCCCTGTCATATTGACGGCCTCTGATCGTTTCATTATTTCGTCATGGTGGTCAAATGTCAACTTATTAGCATAAATGTGGCTGCTGTCGCCGTTTATCGGAGCCCGATCTTATCTCGGGACGATCGCCAATTGTCTTTGTTGTCGTTGTTGTTGTTGTTGTTGTTGTTGGGCACAGGTCCTGCGACAGCGACAAATCGTTGGCCATTACAATGGGCCCTGTGCAGAAGCTGGACTGGCGACATGGACAGTGGCAGTGGCAGGGGCAGTGGCAGTGACAGTGGCAGACACCGGCGGCGATGCAATCGAGTTGATGTTGATGTTGGATCTGATCGGACTGCCCCGATAAACGCCTCGTGTGGCATGTGGCATGTGCCGTGAAGTTGTTTGTTGCGCTTAATTGGATGGCATTTCGTTTGGTTTGTGTGCCGTTCTATATTTAGCAACTGACTGACCCAAAGATGTCTGCCATAAGGTTAACGGGCTGGCAAAAGTCAGTCTACTTCCCTCAGCGTTCCAAATCGAAGGTCCCAGCTAATAGCCACACCATCAAGTGTGAAGACTCTTAATTTGGGTACACAAAGGAGATTCGAGTAGTGGCTAAAATTCTAGTTAAGTTCTGACGAGGACGAAACGAAATTATATAAAAATATTATTATTATATTAATCAAATTGTTATGTATCTTTTATTATTATTGTTTTCTCATTATCTTATCTTTGTCGAATGGGTATTTCTATGCATAGTTCGTGTATGATACTTTTAATTTAACTTTTGGTTAACTTTTCCGTTAACTGTCTTTGTTTGAGTTTTTGTACATATTTATTTGTGTTTTTCCAAAGACTATAAGTAATTGTTGTTGCTTTTCTTTGAAATTTGTTCCTTACTAACAATTGAGGTGAATGCTTCACTCAAAACCACAATCATAAATCCAATTTTGAAAACTAAGAAATAATGATTTATTAGTTTCTGATTAAAGAAATATAGTATATGCATATTGTGCCAAAACAAATTGTAAATTCACTTAATCAACCAAAGTGCTTGAACAATATAAATGCATAAATTCTAGATAGTATAATGTGCAGACATTTCCTTTTGACAATTATAATATTCCAGACGATTTTCAAAATGCGTTACCTATATCTATATTTGAATCGTGCGAGATTGCGTTGTACATTGAGCACTATTTTAAGTATTATAATCTATTTTTTCTATCAAGTATTCTTTCTATTTTTTCACACAGGCTTTTTCATCTTTAAATGCACATGATATTTGGCATTGAATGCGATTTCACAGCAGTTCCGGAATTCCCGAAAAAAAGAAACATTTAAGAAAACACAAACATAAATGGGTCTTTTGGTCATGCCGCCAATGACACAGTCCGCATGGCTCCGCCAACAAGCCGCGCCGCGCTGCTCGTTGCCGTCATAAATTGCAAAATCAACCAAAAATTCCCAATTGTCAGGTTGCCCGATTTTTTATGATATTTTATTTCTTTATGGCCCAAGCGCTGAGCGCTGAGCGTCTGGAAAGTGTGGCCAATTTTCACTGGCTGTGCGATGGTCATTTATCTTAGCATAAGTTGGAGCGCGATAATTGCATTCGATGGAGCCGCAGATTGTGGGGCTGAGGGAGAGCGAAGCGAGGCCACTTTGAAGCTCGCTGCCGACAATTAGGCATGCCACATAAATTTGCACCTCATAGGAGCAGCCTTCAGAGGCGAGTCGCCAGAGTTGCAGCAATGATTTAAATAAATAGCACTTAAAGAGCATTCACAAATCGGCAACCAAGTGCCAGGCTAACGCCCAAAAAAAAGGCTCTATAGCAAGCCAAACACTCAAAGAGACCTCAGCCAAACTGCAATTAGCTGCGAGTTGCGATTGCAGACCACAAACAATCCCATACCCAGTGTACAGAGGGCCAACAAAGCGTGCAGTCAATCATGCGGCAATGTGGAATCAGAGAATTGCCTTTGGGGCAGGCCTTTCAATTGTTGCCCCTTGCCCTTTCCGTGTGTCAGTGTGTGTCCAGCCTGGGGCATGTGATATGTGATGCATACGGCTCACATGTCTGCCTGATAAAAGGGTCAGACATTGCATTCAACGTGCCACAGCTGAGCGCACCAGATAATCCCCCCATTGTTATGGTAGGCACAGAGGGCAGGGTATTGCTGAGGTGTACGTTTAAATTTGTCATCTCGCTTACAGTTGGGTAGACTTAAAGGGCTAACGCTTCACAATTGACCAAATGCGAAATAGGGGCTCGTTTGCTGGAATAGCTGGGTTAGGTTATTAAGTAGCACAGTCAGCCACAGATTAGAAGTTAATGAGGGCTCAAAATTGTAAAGTGAATATTTGGGAAAAACAGGGAAATACATTGGATACTTGGTTTATTTTAGAAATTTCGATTCTATATAGGTTTTGTTAAAGAAAGAAGATAGCAATGTGTAGGATTAATTCAGCACTGAAACTTTCTCTATAAAAAGTTGGGTTGGGTTAGAATTCTATAATTATTATTAAGTTTAGCTTTATTTTAATTTTTCTGTTATTATCTGGAACAACTTAAATTAAATTTGTATGAATATTTACAATCTACTTATTCTACTGGTAAGTCTTATATACAAATTTACAGTGTCAACTATATAAATCGATCTGGGAGATCTATTGGGTGAGACCTTCGTAGTCTCCTCCGCGTTCGGAGTCCTCCAATTCTGCGCCTATTCAGAAGACGCCTAGCCAGTCGATTAGGATGACTTCTCAGTCGCGCTATATAATTTGCGGCCTGTATATTTATTATGTCCCCGACTTTGGGCACTCCTAAGTCTTTTTCCAAGTCGGAGGTTCTCATATACCAGGGGGCACCAGACAGATATCGGAGCGTTTTTGCTTGGAGCACCCTGATTTTTGAAAGACTGGACTTTGCAGCAATGCCATATACCTGGATACCATAACGCCAGGCGGGAGCTATGCAGGATTTATAAATGGTGACTTTATTTTTCAAAGATAGCGCATTTCTACTGTTCAGAAGCCATCTTAGTTTTCCTATTCTGTTCTTTAGGGTTACTGAAACACTTGTGATGTGCTTGTTAAAGTTCAAGCGTCTGTCTAGGTGCACACCTAAGTATTTGTGGCTGTTGAAGTGCGTCACCAATTGGCCGCGCAAGAAAACTCCCGGACACATGTCCCTCCGTAGCGCATAGGTCACATTGGCGCATTTATTTAAATTAATGCCAATATTCCAGCGCTTGGCCCACATTTCAAATTGGTGGAGATATTGCTGCAGGACGTCGGTAGCTTCGTAGACACCTTCGTTTCTTGACAAGATGGCTGTGTCATCTGCAAAAGTGGCGATTGTAAGGTCGTGGGGGTCCGTGACTTCAATTGTAGAGCCAGTGGGCATATCGTAGGTAAAGAGGGTGTAGAGCGTGGGCCCTAGCACACTCCCTTGAGGAACGCCAGCCCCGATGGCCTTCATGTTTGACTCAACTCCATCGAGTACTACCGAAAATGACCGGTTTGTCAAATAACTCTGCACAATTAAATATAGTTGAGGTGGCAGTAAGGGCTTAATTTTGCAGAGTAGCCCATTATGCCAGACTCTGTCGAAGGCTTGTTTTATGTCTAAGTACGCTGCCACTACGTACTCTTTGGCTTCGAAACCCTCGAGGATAAAATTCACCACCCTATTTAGCTGTTCCGGTGT